TCAGGTCCGGACCTGAAGCGGGATAAACCCCAGTATAAAAGCGGCATTATAGAACCAGTGAAGGAAAGTGAGAGAGGGTGACAGAGAAAGGGAGAGATAGACAGACAGATAGACAGACAGAGGGAGAGGGGCAGACAGAGAGAGTGTGAGAGAAAGAGAAGAGCATGCGCCCGAGAGGTGAGATCGAGATTACAAGCAAAAAGACGAGAGAGAGAGATTGGATCGAAAGCTCACCACTCAGAACGAGAAGGAGAGAGAAGAGGAGAGAGAGAGAGAGGACAGAGACAAGACAGACAGAGACAGAGGCACAGAGACAAGAGACAGGACAGAGACAGAGACAGAGACAGAGACAGAGACAGAGAAGGGAGGGGGAGGAGGGAGAGAGAAAGAGAGAGAGAGAGAGAGAGAGAGGGAGAGAGAGAGAGAAATAGAGCGTGAAAGAGGGGAAGCAAGAGTGCCCTAAACAAATAGAGAGTGAGATAAGAGGGGAGTGGTAGGGGAGTTGAGAGAAAAGATCTAGGGTGAGAGATTAGTAAATTCGAGACACATTCGACTCGAGACATGGACGGTGGTGTGGTGTGGTGTGGTGTGGTGTGGTGTGGTGTGGTGTGGTGTGGTGTGGTGTGATGTGATGTGGCGTGGATCGTGTGGTGTAGTTTGTGTGATGTGGTGTGGTGTGAGATAGTAACAGACATTATTCTCATTTGACTACTCATTCACGAATCGCATACACCTTGCAATAACCATCCTTACTGCGACATGTGCATCATGTGTGCCAGCTCAACAAGCAGTCGATATCTCAACTTGGAAGAGGAGCACGTTACAAGTACGTGAATACGTACAACATAGCAGAGCAGAGAGTATGCAGCTTAGAGAGGATATGGAATGTACACGCGCACCTACCCTAAAATCCAACAGCCAAAGAGTGGCATCTGCTGGCCACACCCACTACTGGAATACATGCGTTCAGATATACAGTATATTTCAGTTGATGGCCAAATATTACTCATACGGCGGAGTGCCACTCCCAGTGCCAACAATTGTCACGATAAACTGTGGGATTCTTTGCCTTATAGCAACCCACCATGGTAACGGACGTTTACCACCTTCAACCCTAAACTACGTATCACATGTTATTTATACTTTAAGTATGCAGACACCACATCTGAGACACACTCAAGGTGTACGGTACTGGGCTCAGCGATGGATGGGAGGTCGAGACAGTTATGCTGGTTTCAGAGTGGGGCTCGGCCTTATATAAGGAAGGACTGGGGATCTGGCGGTGAGCTTTCAAGGCAGGGCGACACCAAAGAGGGGAGGTGCCAAGGCAGACAGATTTCAATGCGGGTAGATGCTAAAGCAGGGAGACTCCAAGGTGGGTAGGAGTCCTGGATGGATCACCATTCACACCACCTCACATATTCTAACCGCTGGTTATATTGAAGTAAAAGCTGTTTCCCTGAGATCTAAGTTTTCAGCTAGCTTTCCGTCTACTGTGGCACATACTTAGCTATGTGCATTCTGTTGCAATGACTCATGCCATGTAACAAACGTAGATACATGAATCTCAATAATAAATTATCAAGACTATTATTTAAACTACAACAGGCGACTGCATGAATAATGTATGCATTCTCAAAAGCAGAGTATCACAGCAATCATCTACCCAGGAAAGGAGCTTTTGAAGCTCTGTTTTGCCTATTCCCCTCTTGCTAGACACCATACATATGCACATTGATTGATCACTGTCTCTCACATCTGTTACATAGCTAAAGGGCTTCAATCGGTGTCTGTCTGGCTGCACTTCTATTCTAAGCAATTGACTCTAATTTTACACTGCAGCATAATTTACCAATATTGTATTGAAATCTGTTGATTTTATGACAAACAAATTATAATCAAATATAGCTACATTTTACAAGCATGCTACATTGAAAGTCTAATGTTAAAATCAATATCAAGAAAGTGGGTTTTGATGTTACAGCAGGTAGGTGCTGAGACAGATTTACATGTAGATCTATACATGTATACATACATGTCCACCATGGACCATGCCAGGGTGTATCTTCCATTATAGACATCAGAATAAATAAATCCACTATTTACATGCCACTTATAGTTACCTTTCATGACAATAACAGTTCTCAGTTATAGATGCACTGTGCAGAGCTAGGGTGTGCGAATCAGCTGATCTTCAATGTCCTATCACGTGAGTTGGACCTATTCACATCAACCTATAATTTTAATAACAAATATATCACATACACGTGCATATGAGTGTTCTGACACATAAAGGTATACTAGTATATAAATAAAACCTTGTCAAAAATCAAAGAGCTACAACGTCTAATAATTAAGAAGTGCAACCTAATAATCAAATATTCAAATCTATATTTTTATAGTTTGCAGTAAAACCAGAAATATAGCAAAAAATACATTTGTTTATGTTTAGTAGATCCATTACGTACACTCTTTTTTAAAGTACCACATGTCATGTCTTGTGAAATATAACAAGCAAGAAACATGGCATAAAAAATACAATGTCATCTTTAAAAAAGTTATCTGGGACAGAATTATTGTCTCAGAATCAGATAATTCTAATTTTTTTTTATCTGGGACAGGATTTTTTGGGCTGTGCCAAAACCCAACGACGTTTCTGCATCAATCCGGGGACTAACGGGGCCACCAACCAACTCGGCATCACATGCAGGCACTTAGAACGTTTCAATAATAAAAAATGATGGTGAATAAACATGACATTTATAAATTTTGCTACCACAGTCTTAATGTTTCTCAACTCTCTTTCACCTATTATTAGTAATAATTTCCTGTAAATGCTGTTCAAATGCTCCTTAGCAACACACAATTTCACCCCACTCACTCCACTATGCTCAAACAACAGAAATATAGAGTTCTCTATATTTCTGTTGATTGTGCACAGCGGCATGCATTGCACTTGCAGTGAGATTGCGTGGGGTCTCAACAGAGCATTTGAATGGCATTTACAGAAAATTATTAGTCGATAGAGAATACATGAACATTGAGACTTTTGTAGTAAATACATTTCGTATATATTTACAATCATTTTATTGTTGAAACATTCCAAGCTAGTGCCTGTGGCTGTGCGCGGCACGGCAACATTATCTAGCAAGGCCATGTTTGGGACTCCTGCATCCGCAATATGTTTTCGCATATGACATATGTGCTACTATAGCTCTAGTACTATAGCCCGCATACAGTTGCCGCAGGGCTATAGTACATTCTATTATGAATGCTCGGGACCAACTCATTCACGGTTACTCGCGGCTATAAAACGTCTGTGGTAGGCAATTAATGGCTCTTATCCGAAGTGAATATGTCTTAAGTTATATCAGCTACTAAAATTTAACTTCTAACTATCGTTGAAATGGTCTACTTGCGGCATTTCTTGTGAACGAACATTATTTACGAACTTCAAACAGCCATTTTTGGTGGCGCCAGTCAGCGGAATCTATGTATTTCCGCACGTGGAGGGGTGGGCGGGTTGTGTTGGTTGTGGACAAAAACATTGTTGTTGTCAAGTAACAAATTAAGCGATCAAAAAAGATTGTAATATTAGTTTTGTCATGAAAGATGAACAAATTACTATGATTAATTTGTTACTTGACAACATTTTTGTCCACAACCAACAGAACCCGCCCACCCCTCCACGTGCAGAAATACATAGTTCCCGCTGAGTGGCTTTGCTAGAGCTAATTAATGTGCTACACTAATCTGGGGTGCTAAAGCCCGGCGCACATTGCCGAACATTTTGCTCAAGAGCATTATCGTAGCAATGTTCCATGAAATGTTCGGCAATGTGCGGTGAAAAAAGTCGCCGAACATTTGTTCCGAACAATGTTTCTGAAGATCGGAAATGTTTGATATCTCGAACATATTGTTCGTCGAATGTTCGTCAATGTGCGCTGAATGTCGAACAATTCTAGGAACATTTGTAAAGTAGTAACCAATAGCAGCACGATATGTGGTCACATGATTTTTGGGACCAATCATGCGCCGATCACGTGACTCTTTACAACACAGCTACTAGACGGCTCCAGGAGGTTATTCGCTGCAAAATGTTCGGCAATGTGCGCTCATGCAGCAATTGTTCAACTGCACATTGCCAGACAAAAACATTTGTTCGGACGAACATTTGTTCGGGAAAATGTTCGGCAATATGCGCCAGGCTTAAACTAGGCGCCTGGGCCTCTTGGCTTGGTTTATCTACCAAAGGTAAATCCTTGCACGGTGGCAACACGAGATCAGATTGGGACGGCGACCTCAGTACTAGTAGTAGGTGACATACACTAGCCTAGAGTAGTACTATAGTAGCCACAAGTTCCCTTCTCGCTTAACACTACGTGTATTACGATGTATGTACGATATATAACACGGTATAACAGTCGGAGAGCCTGGTCGGTTTAGCCTAGTAGTAGTAGTAAGTAGTAGGTGACATACACTAACAAACCTAGTATAATAGTAGCACAAGTACACTGACCTGTGCTAGTGATAGTGCCACTAGTGGTATAGCCAGTATAGTACGTGCAAGGCATGGTACTGTCGCTCATAGGCTCTATGTCCCCAGGGTTACGGTACTGCCTGAACGTACCATGGGTAGGCCTACGGTCCGGTATACCGGAACGTACCCTGGTAACTATATTTGATATGGTTAGGGTTAGGGACAGGGTATAGGGTTAGGGTTAGGGTTACGGAGTAGGCGTAGCTAGACGACTCCCTAGACTCGTTAGTGGAGTACGAGTAGGCGAGGTACGGTCCGGCATATTAGATAGTACCAGGGTACGTTCCGGCAGTACCCTGGGGGACATATAGACCCTCTCAGCGGTACTGTCTGATACAATGTGAATGTGAATGTGAGATACCTATGGAGTAGCCTCTAGTACTATAGCCCGCGGATCGCTGCCTCAGGCTATGGAGATACCCAGCCCGCTGCCCACGCCGCAAACACTGAAACAGCCGTCGACTAAAACGTGGGGATTAGGTCAAACATAACAAATGCGGAATGCCCCCGAACCGATCACTCTTTGGTGTCACAATGTAATCTATACGTTACTGTAAACATACCTGTCAGGGTCCAAAGAAATATATCATATGTGCCTCAAGTACGTAACTGCAACAAGGAATCGACTACACCTTGCTAGTGACTACTCTGTACTCACTAGTGATTCGTCACTGACGTGACGGCGCTAGACCTATGGCTAGACACACAGAGCACGTGATACATTTCTTGCCTATAATTGGCTAACTAAATCACGAGACGTCACACAGCATGTCAGCCCCCTGAAGCCGGTGTCTTGTTTTGAATTGAAGACTCTCTGTGAGTGTAATATCTATCATTAGCGTGTTATCTTTGGTTTTATATCTATGCATAGTTTGTATTGTAACGAAAATGTTTTAATTTTGCTGTTAGTTTGGCAACTCTATGTGTAAATCACCGATCATGATCTAACTTGAACCGTGGGTGTGTTGTTTAGATGAATTTGTCATGTCATTGTCTTGAGTCTAAACCATCTGCACTGTCTTTAATTGTTTACTCGCACTAGTCTGGAATGTATTTATTTATTTTGTATAACATAGGTTTTTCCAAGTCTATTAATTAATTATCCACGTTATGTTCATGGTGTAAATTTAATGTGCAGAGCTAGCCCGACCAGGCTGTGCGACGGATTGTCTATTCTAACCCTAGCAATACCGTTTCTTGGAGCTAGTGCAGAGCATGATGATGATCATAGAGGCTAGTATATTATTAGATACAATAATCATGTAGCCCAACATGGCAACAAGAGTAGCTACTAGAGTTACAGTTACAGGCACTTGAGCTGATAGGGTCTATGTCCCCCAGGATACCGCCGGAACGTACCCTGGTAACTATCTAGCTGATATGGTTAGGGTTAGTGTTAGGGTTAGAGTTATACCGGTCCGGTATACCGGAACGTACCCTGGTAACTATCTAGCTGATATCAGATATGGTTAGGGTTAGTGTTAGGGTTAGAGTTATACCGGTCCGGTATACCGGAACGTACCCTGGTAACTATCTAGCTGATATCAGATATGGTTAGGGTTAGTGTTAGGGTTAGAGTTATACCGGTCCGGTATACCGGAACGTACCCTGGTAACTATCT